CCAGGAGTTCTCTGGCCATAGCACAGGCAACTGAGCAGAAGCTGATCATGGACCAACGGAGGATTCAAAGTCTGCAAACAAGCCTCTAATCCAAACTGCTTGAACCCAGTTCAAGCCAGCGTTCAATGCTTCTGAGCATCCCCCAGCTAGGGCCTCCTTTTCTCTTTTCGGCCTCGCGATGCTTTCGACCTGCACGGGAACACGTGAAATGAGAGAGAATCAAACAAGCACAATGAACGTGGAGTGCGACAACGCGCCTGCAGTTTGTGCTGGCCCTCCAAGAGCTTTGGATCAGCCAGTTCCCTGAAAGAATGCGCTGAGAATGCAAAGTTGGATGGAAAGTTGGTGGATGTGCAATAGGTAATCTCACCAAAAACAGGTCCAACGCCCCTCAACGGAGCCTATCGTGTTGGAAAATTTACCCATTATATACTTGTCTAAATATGGAGGAGTTCCTTGGATGAAGCCAATCGGTCGGTGTTCACGGTCAGTTGCCTTCGGAGTTCGGGTGCCATGTTGGTGAACCAGTCCATCTCCTGGAAACAAACTGGGAACGTGCAGGTTCCATGAAACAGCCTAACTTGTTAACTTATCATTGCCGTGAAAAAGAAGACGGCAAACACAGTTGATGACGTTTGAAGATGCTTCAAGTTTGTTCCTTAAGAAATGCTGGTTGTTTTCAGCTCTCCTCGCTTCCCTGTGAAGGATCCCACTCCACAGCTTCGCCTTGCCAGACCTGAAGCCAGCGCTGGCAGCTCTACACGCTACGAATCTGTGCGCATCAAGTAAGCAAAGAGAACACACCGAAATTCTCGCTCTGAAGAGCCAAACATAAAGCAAACATAAGGAAATTGGATGATTCTGATGCTGTCAAAAGCTGGCCAAAACTGAGGCACTGACTCCTCTGAGCTTAAAGGCGGCGAAGGGAGTGAGAGAGGTGGTACCTCCAGAGTCTACAGCACAAGTTGGTCGTGTGAGTCATAGACGACTCCTGGCGAGGGAGAGTACTCTAAGGCCAACAAGTTGTGAGGTTTGTCAACAAAACGTTGTTTGGGGGCTGAAATCAATGCTCTGTTTACATCTGTTTACCAAGACTTCAATAACAAATTGGCACAAAGTTCCACATCTCGCGGCCTCTTGGTGGCTGGAAGCTATATGTCCTCGGAAAGGAATCAGGGAGGCCGTCAAATGGATACATAAAGGAACAGATTGAAAATTGCACTTCATTTGTGGTGGCTAGGAGCCCTAAAGAGTCAAAGGAGGGAATGCGTTTTACATCATTTTATATCGTTTTACTCGTCCTTGTGCGAGCATTCCTAGGTGCTATAGGTCCACAAGGAGCAAAGCCTCTTCATCGACTCGAGGCTTAGGCCAGAAGATCGCAGGCTTGATGCCGCAGCTCTCCCAAGGAACCACCTGTCGCTCAGTCGACTGGCCATCCCAAAAAATGTCAGAATATTTGTGGGGAACACTAACAAACACAAAAACAATGCTCAAAAACAAGCGCTTTTAAGAACCTGTTCAAAGATGTCATTCGGTACCAGTAATGCTTGAGCCATTGTCAAAATCTGCTGTATTACTGGATACGGCCGCCCTTTCAAATGCTATGAACACCCCGCACCTGCACCACTTTGCCCTCTTGATCCTTTCTGCTCGGCACTTGACTTTGTGGTAGAGCCAGGGCCCCAGAAAGGAGAACGCAACAAACCAAGGGAAAATCTTTGACTTTGACTGTTACGACATTTGGTTGATAATGTGGCTGATAGTTGGTTCCAAGCCTGGCAAAGGAGATCTTGAGAGTTTCTGCAAATCCAAACACTCCTTTAGATCATAGTCCATATTAAATATGTTCAAAAATGTTCAACTGATGCAAAAACATACAGCCTGTGACTAGTGTCCAAACATGTCACAACAAATGCAACAATTTCCCACCAGCGTTCAAGCAAACCAAGCTGAGTCTCCTTGACATACAGCAGCTCCAGGAAGTCCTGAGGAAACGAGGGAATGGACAACCACTTGGACGCTGGCCGTCAATGATTTCTACTCTGAACCGCTGGAGCAACAAACGATCAATCAGCCAAGTCACATACTCATAGGAGCTTAAAACCGGCCTCGAGTCCAACTGTGACGGCTCGAATTGACATGGCAACATACATCCAAACCACGACACCGAGAGAAACGAACAGTGCATCTTGGGGCGCTGGCGGAGTAGAAGGGCTGGAGTCGTTGGAACCTGGAGTTCATACATCTTCACACTGTACCCAACGTTGCAAACTGACTGGGCCATTCAGATTCGGTGCACGGAACGAAAACAAATGCCAACTTAAAAGCCTACCAAATCTCCTGAGCCACCTGAAACCTGATGCCGGTGACGATGCATTTCTAAGAGACCCCGGTCAAAGCCTGCGCTTGTGCCTATTGCACAGCAGAGAATGGATGTGAAAAGCCAGCCACGTGTCTGAGATTTCTGTGAACTTGAGCGTAAATGGTCTTGTGCTAGCTGAGGGCTCAACTTGACACGCCGACACAAATTGTGGCCTACAAAGCTACAGCAGCTTTCAGCTTCAGCAAAGTCCGTGGATGATGTCAATGCGACTCTCCTGCTAAGTGTACTTTCAAGGGTCCCTCTCATTTTACTGATACAAAACACGCAAAGAACAAGTGGTTTCTCTGGCTAGACTCGTCTGGTGGTTCCCATCATGGATCTGCGATGCAACTCCATGCCAGGAGATATGCAACTGTGCCCCTGGCAGTGTCAGGACGCTGGGTATGATAGATTGCCGGCACCAGCAACTCCTCCTGTTTGGGACACGAATGGTTTGTGCGTGATTCACATGGATGCAATCAATGTTGAACATAACTGCCACTGGCAGTGGCAGACCACAGGAGGCCTTTGAGGCCGCTCTCATGTCCCAACGGACATGTTTCACATGCTGCCAAGTAGCCTGCCCTGCGAAGGAGCCTGGCGACTCCTCCGTGAAGATTCTGGTTCTTTCAGCCCAGGCGATGCGTTGCAGGTGGTACCGCCAGTCCTGAAGAATGGAACATGAGGAGCATGTGTCGCTAGGCTGCCATGTTCTCAAATATAAAAATAAGAGATAATAAGAGATTGTACTGAGGAAGGTTTGTAAGCGTGCTTGGTGTACAAAAAATGCAGTGACTGACTCCTTGGGCAAATCCCGGAAGATATCATTGAAGTGTTTATCCTGCAAAAACAAACTGGAGGCAACGTTTTTCGATTCTGGAATATTCTGACATTGCTGAGTCTTGAGAGTCCAAAAAACACTCTTCTGCCCAAACAAAGGATCCACTGCACTAACGATGGCCTCCAACCTAATAGCGGTGGCCTCCAATCCAATAGCGATGTCCTCCACCCTAGTAGCGATGGTTTCCAACCTAGTGGCGATGGCCCAAATCATTTTTACGCAGGCCTCAAAAAGCCGTGGTTCGAGGGCCTTCATCCGGGCAAACATCTCCTATTGGCGACAGGTGGATACGCAATGCAAGTGCAAAATGACATCACAAACCACTACATTGCAGGTGGTTCGATCTACACTCACGCTAGGATCCAACACTGATATATACATATATATGTTAATAGATACAGTGTGCGACAATATATTTTATATATATATACATATACATTATATGGGTGTGCATTTTATTCATTTGAGACTGGAGTCTGGCCGGGAAGTTTGAATAGGTGGTATGGTTTGAGGGTATGATTCTGGGTGTGATTCGTGGGTATGATTTGAGGGTATGATTCGCAGATGACTCGCAGCTCTAAAGTAGTAGTGTTGGATTGGCTGGACTTCCAGCAGTGGGCCCACTTCTGCGCCGTGAGGCAGTAGGCAAGCAGCATCTGTTGGTTGCTGGGCAGACAAGGCAAATGCACTCTTCCACCAAAGACCCCAAACGGCCCTTTTTGACTACTGTGCACACCAGTGGCCCTCTGCACGCCCACCAAAACAGCCAGGATGTGGGATGGGAGACTGTGGAGGTGCGTGATTCGGGTATGAGCCGGGCATGAATCGGCTCATATGATTCATGTGGCCATTAGATTCTGCAAAAGAAGGCGATCCGTTGGCTCTTCTTCCAAAGGGAGAGCGCATGGGAACATTGGTACCCCTGAGATGTGAGCCTTTGCTCTTCCCACAAGACGACAAACAATTTTGTCCAAATTTTATAACACAAGTGTAAATGTCACGCACCATTGGCTCATGGACATCTATAAGGCAAAAAGACCAACCAAAAGCTTCACCTTAACACCTACAAGTAGTTCTTACACCTGCCTTTTTGAGGGATATATTTCGGGGGTATGATTCGAGGGTATGAATCGCTCAAGCCAAGTCGAACTTCCAACCACTACATCAGTAAGTAAACGGCAAAATTCCAACCACTACATCAGGAAGTAAACGGCAAAAATACAAACCCATATATATATATTGTGTATATATATATATAAATTACGTAACATATATTAACCAACAGACAAACAAGTTGTAATCAGCTCCGACTTACAACCGGTGGATCAGTCGATGTTAACTGATTTTTTGCAAAGGGTCCTTGAGTGGCTGGCCAGGCATATGGGGAACCTGGCGGCCAAGTCCAGCACTTGTTGAACATTCGACAGGCTGTCGGTATGTTGCTCCCTCACAAATCTCCCTCAAATTCACCTGTTCACGGTTCAATCACATAATTAGTGGGCATATGCAAATCAACCCGACAAAGTCGAACTAACTTGGATTAACGAACTCATTTTCGTGCAACAATCAATCAAATGGCAAAGCAAATGTTGCCTTACCTGGAACTCCAGTCTGCCTGCCAACGAACCGCGGCGTCTGTATCAAGGCATGGAGGGTAACAAAACACTAGACTAGCATCAGGACATGCCCAATCTGTACAGCCACAAGCAGACCCTAACAAGACCTCAGTCACGCTCTATGCGTGCGGACATGCGGGCCAATTAGCTGCTCACTGCTCACCAAGATGTCAGATCTCTACGCCCAAACATCTTCCAAATAGCGGCTTGCCTCGTCAAGCAAAACAGACCACGAGCGTTTTCCTTTCGTTTGAATCACCATGAATCATGTGTTGAATTGCTCAACGAAAACTCTGAAGATTTAGAGAGTCCAAAAGCACCCCAGCATGAGGTACCTTCGCCTTGGAGATGGACTTCGTTGCCAGTCGTTAGATTAAGTTCGTTACCCCTAGACAATAAAGTCAAGTTTGGGGCGGGGTAGGCCATGAGAAAGCCACCGGGGTAGGGGCCTGAGCTCGATGTGGGGTTTGCCACTACTAGGAGCAAAGACGCTACGAGGAAAAGGAAAGTCCATCCACTGTGACCGGTTCCTTCATTTGCCTTGGGAAGATCCACCCTTTCAAAAGGAGCAGAAGAGATCAGCTAGCAAGAAAGCTACCGAATTTCGAATTTTGTTCCTAGATGTTTGAAGGAACCTTGCTTCTACGGTAAAACTTGGCATTTTTTTCTGCCTTGCTTTCTTCATTCTTTTCTTGAAACAAGAATCATTTACACGCTGTCACTAACCCCACCCACTTTCTCGGAGTTGAGCCCCGGCCTCAACCATGCTAGCCAGCAAATTTGCAGCCGTTGAGGTACTTCTTCCGCCACAACTCTCAATGACACGCTGGAAGCTTCGCTTCACATCTGGTGCCATGGCACGAGCATCTCCACAAATGAAGACCATCGATTTGGGGTTTGACAAAACACGCCAAACCTCCGCGCCTTGGCAATACACACAGTGTCACAGCACTCTCGTGGATGGTAAAAGTAAGATTCCCTTTTTACTCTTACCATCTTTGTCTCAGTCTCAAATGATGCCACTTGCAGTGAACAAAGGCACGTTGCTCCCAAATCTTGTCTTGCACGTAGACCTTTTGACCTTGGCTACAAGAATTATATAAAAATATATGAAGATGATCAGATCGAAGTATACGAAATATAGTATATATGGACAAAACTTGAGCTTGAGTCATTGAGCAGCATTCAGCAACGGGGTTGTTGAGAACCAGCTTGCGACCTGGTGAGCCCGAAACATCTTTTTGGCAAGGCGCCGGCTTCCCGACTGAAGGCCACGTGCAGGGTGGAAAGGGCTCCAGATTTCAAGTGTGCTTCCAGCTCTTTCTCCTCAACGAGCAATTCGGACAGAGCACCGGAAGGTGAAGGCTTGGCGTGTACCATTGTCACCTATCTTGCGTCTTGGGCCCTTGTTTCCTTGACAAACTTGTCAATTTGAGACCCACCATGACGGAATGAAGTCAGCACTCCAATCATGATCAGTATGCAGAAACGCCCTTCACCGTCTTACCCTGTATGAAATTCGAACGTTATGGCTGTAAGCGAAAGGTTGAAACGAGAGGGTAAATGTCCTCACAGAAAAGAAATGAAAGGAACATCAGTAACATCATCAGGAGACTGCATACTACACACATATACAATAACTACTGCTCAATCTCTCTGCAACAACCGTGCACCAACCGAAAATACCCAGAGATCCACAACATTCGATCGGGGTCCCTTTTGCCAAATGACATAGAGGTAGTCTGCGTCACGAGCACGGCAGCCAAAGAAGAGAATCGCCTCTCCCAGCTTCTCCTTCTTCTTCAACAACGCTTCACGTTCCTCTTCCCCGAGAGCCCGAGTCAACCCGAATCACGATGCGCTCCAAGAACGCAGAGCCAACACCGATCCGACCAACAAAGACCTGTTCTTACACTACAATCCAGAGTCTCTCCTTCGAGGAAAAGTCAAATACAAAGAACGCAAACGCATCTTCTCCATTGTCTCATTGGGACAATGGAATTCTTTGCGCAAACGAAAGATTGTGTTAAGTCATTCAGAGTATCCTGCAAGAAACCCATCATTGGCGCCAATCCGGTTCCAGGACCAACCATGATGATCGGTGCCTGAGTTTATTTACGTCAACGGCTACGACCCCTTTGGCTGGTTCGCAAATGGTAGTTTTCAAACTTGCAACTGATGGTGTGGTTTGTGATTGCAATACATGTTGCACTATCATCAGATCTTCAAAATCCTTTAAACATCCGCAAATATCTTCACCTGTTCTGGAGTCAAAGGTGCCGACTTGTCCTCCGGCAGGTGAAAGTCTGACTGCAAAGTGCGCACATTTCCTGGGATGCAACCTCCGACCGGTAGCTGACCAAGGCAGGTGGAGGCCAAGCCGTGGTGGACCCTGCCAGAGCAATCTGTGTTGCGCAGTTCTTCAAGTGTTGAGCAAAGACCCACTAGAGCAGTCTTGGTTCAGCACCACATGAATGAAAGCATGTTCTCAAGACATCTCCACTTCAAGAAGCAAAACTGCACCGTTTACCACACAGAACAGCCTTCCAGTGCCAGTGGTGAACTTCACTTGTCCAACAGTGATCGTGACCACGTTTGGATCGGCGCCAGGAGCTGATGGGGAGGAAGACACGCTGTAGCGACGAATGGCAAGGGACTTGGCGATGGCTACAAACTCGCCCAGGCTGCAGTTAAACTGGCCCTTGAACCTCAGATAACCCACAAGCATCGCACCAGCACAAGCATCTTTTGTGCCTCCCTAAAGGGATCTAAACGGTGAGTGTGGCACGTACAAAGTAATATGGAAATTGCGTCCCTTTCCCTTTCGGACGGTCTGACACCAGTCTTCACAGCTGAGGAACTTGTACAACAGCTCGGCCAATGACAAGTTCAAAGAAGAGACCTTGGCCTTGTACTTCTCTGCGTCCTCTGCGGCTTCCAGCAAACTTTTGCTCACTAGAGACCGATTGAGGAGTCGGAACATGATGCATACTATGGGCCCTATGGGCCAAAGGACTTATTTGACTTACTGCAGTGCGAGCTTCTCACACATGCTGACTTGAATAATGGTGAGTGACTGATCGATCATCCTAGCGGTACGTTGCACCACGTGACAGGGGGACAAAAAATTCAAGAAACGCTTTCCGTCAAAATCGATTCGACGACACTCTCTCCTTGGCCAAAGACTGGAGCTCCTCTTTGGCCTCCGCTGAAGTGACTCTTTCGGCGAGCAACCCACAGATCTTTCGATCTGGTGTGCTGGCCAAATCTGGGAACCACTGCATCACCACGGAGACTGTGATGTACCTTTTCTTAGCACCAAGATGCACCAAGCAAATCAAACTGTCGACAAAGAAAGCTTGCGGTCTCTTGAAAATCGTCCAAGTCTATAATCTACATCAGTATCATCTAAACTAAAACATGCTTCTCAGAAGTGCTTTCCCAAAAAAACGGCTGAGAAAACTGGTGGCGGTGGAGGTGGAAGTGGAGGTGAAGGTGCAGGAGGACGTGCAGCAGCAGCAGCAGCAGCAGGTGGTGGCGGTGGTGGTGGTGGCGGTGGTGGTGGTGGAAGCGCTGCGCTTGCCACGAAACCTGAGCCCTTACAGTAGGACATGTAAACCATATCCACAGTAACTTGACTGTGCCTGCCACGAAGCACTTCAAAGAAGCACATGCTCGATCTCCTGCTGCCACTCTTAGGGCTCAGGACCTTCAACCCACAAGCACCCGCGCAGCAGCGACAACACGCCACCGCAGATTCTGCGACCCTGCGGTGTTCGGGGAAAAAACAAGCAGACCGAAAACGTTTCACTGCTCCAGTAATTGTTAGGCAAGTTTCATTGCTGGCATCTTGGCCCAGACTGTCTCTTCCAGCACCAAGTTGCGGAACTTCTTCTGGCGCTTTGCTGGGTCCCAGCAAACCACAGCGTCCTTGTCGAAGTTCAATGCCTCCATGGTCATCGAGATCAAGGCTGGGTCATTGGGTGGCAGCATCTCCTTTCCCGACGTGAAGGCAACAAACGAAAGCTCGAGTGTTGTACAAAAATTATTGTTTGTGTTGTGCGACAATCATCATGATGATCATCATCAATAATCATGATGATCATCATCAATAATCATGATCATGATCATGATCATCATCATCATCATCCTCATCCTTATCTTTATATATAATTATATAATATATATATATATGATTATGATGTTGCTGCTGCTGGTGGCCAAGCACTCTGACAAAACCGTTAAATACCTTGTCTATCAGGAGATGCAATGAATCGATTGGTCACTGCACTTCACAGGACAGTTCTGGTAGAAGTTCACACAATGAACGAACAAAGCGGTGTCTCAATACGGTTAGCCCAACATTCTAAACGGATTTTCCAAAGTCGAATGTGAATGTGCTGGTTGGTTGATTGAAAAATTCCCGCAAGGCAAGCCAACCTCCATTACCATTTCAAATACGCAAAGCTCTCAAGAAACATACATCATAAATAACACTTAAAAACATGTGTTAAATATCTATATGTAAAACAAGATGGAACCCACGAACCCGAGTGCAAACACGTACTCGAAAACAAATACCCAAACAATTTTTGACACCTGGTAGGACACATTCTTTTCGGAAACCTTTGTTGGACACTCTTGTGCGCTCTTGCGGGACACCTTGTATGACACTCACTCTTGTGGGACACTCTTGCGGAACACTCTTGCGAACCACTCTTGCAGGACACTCTTGTGTGTCCCTCTTGTGAGACACTCTCGTAGGACACCCTTGTGGGGCACTCTTGCGGAAAATTATTGTAGGACTCTCTTGTGGGAAAGTCTTGGGCGCCCTTGTGGAACACTCTTGCGGAACACTCTTGTAGGACACTCTCGTGGGATTCCCTTGTGCGAAACTCTTGTAGGACCCCCTTGTCGGACACTCTGGTGCAACACTCTTGCGGGACACTCTTGTGGGATACTCTTGTATGTCACTCTTGTGGGACACCCTTGGGCAATCTTGTAGAACACTCATGCGGTGGGGCTCCCTTGTAGGAAACTCTTGTCGGACACTCTTGTGGAACACTCTCGTGGGACACTCTTGCAGGACACTCTTGTGGGACACTCTTGTGTGTAACTCTTGTGGGACACTCTCGTAGGACACTCTTGTGGGAAACTCTTGCAGAACTCTCCTGTAGGACACTCTTGTTTGACACTCTTGTAGGACACTCTTGGTGGACATTCTTGTGGAACACTCTGGCGGGACACTCTTGTAGGACACTCTTGTAGGACACTCTTGTGGGGCACTCTTGTAGGACACTCTTGTGGGGCGTTCTTGCGGGACACTCTTGTGGGACACTCTTGTTTGTCACTCTTGTGGGACACTCTTGCGAAGCAGTCTTGTAGGACACTCTTGCGGGACACTCTTGTAGGACACTCTTGTGGGACTTCCTTGCAGGACACTCTTGTGGGACACTCTTGGAGGACACTTTTGGGGGGCACTCTTGTAGGACACTCTTGTAGGAAAATTTCGTGGGACGCTCATGCGGGAAACTTGTGGGACACTCTTGTTTGTCGCTCTTGTGGGACACTCTTGTGGGACACTCTTGGGCAATCTTGTGGGACACTCTCACTCTTGTAGGACACTTTTGTGGGACTCCCTTGTAGGAAACTCTTGTAGGACACTCTAGTCGGACAATCTTGCGGAACCCTCTCGTGGGACACTCTTGTAGGACATTCTTGTGGGACACTCTTGTGGGACACTCTCGTAGGACACTCTTGTGGGACTTGCGGAACTTTATTGTAGGACACTCTTGCGGGACACTCTCGTGGGACACTCTTGTTTGTCACTCTTGTGGGACACTCTGGTAGGACACGCTTGCGAAACAGTCTTGTAGGACACTCTTGTGGGACACTCTTGTGCAATTTTTGTGGGACACTCTCGAAGGAAATCTGGTTGGACACTGCTGTACTTCAAGTCTACAAAACGAGCGTTTCGTTCGAGACTTCCTCCAAGAGTCACACGTCTCTTCTAAAATTCACTCGTCAAGTCTCCAAAACGAGCGTTTCGCACGAGACTTCCTCAAAAACTCACACTTGAAGTCTGCAAAACAAGCGTTTCGTACGAGACTTCCCTCCAAAAGTCACGCGTCAAGTCTGCAAAACAAGCGTTTCGCGCGAGACCTCCTCCAAAAGTCACGCGTCAAGTCTCCAAAACGAATGTTTTTCGTACGAGATTTCCTGCAAAACTCACCCGTCAAAGTCTCCAAATCGAGCATTTGGTACGAGACTTCTTCCAAAGTCAAGCGGGAAGCCCCATCGGAGCACATACATCAAGCAGCCCTGCCAAGCAGTTTCGCGATTCCAGCCCCTCCAAACAACGCCCGCTCACACGCCAATCCCAATGTCACAGCGACATTCACCCCCACCACATCTCGCAACCTCACGATTCCCTGCGCCTGCCACGAAAAACTTACGCGTCCACACGTCTAACATGCACAAAATACTGCGCTTGCCACGAAATGTGACCTCCGGCACACCTCGCAACCTCACAATTCCCTGCGCCTGCCACGAACAACCTCAAAACCCACACAAAGCACTGCCCCTGCCACGAAAAGTGACAATATCATATCATGTGAGCTTCAACAAAGTTTGCACCACGCCACACGTCTGGAATGATTTCGACGCATTCTGACAACACCCTGAAACGCAAATCCCAATGTCACAGGCACATCCAACAACCCAAAAACACCACTCTCCAAGCGCCATTGGGATTGTGCAGACAACTGCGGATCTCACAAAACGCTGCGCCTGCGCAGTGAAATCATCCTCCATACTTCAACATCTTACGTTTCCACACGTTTCCTCGCTAATTCACACGAATCTGACACGTCACGCTTCTCCAAAAGCTTCCCGCAATGGCAGCGCCTTAGCGCCCTACGGCGGTCGGCGGCGGTCGGTTGCAAACGGTTGCGGACGGTTGACAACGGTTGCGACCGCTGAGACAACGGGTCGCGAACAAGGCTCTATACCCCCAGAACCCCAGAGTTAAACAAGAACCCTTCGCTACGCATTCGGGGAAAGACATTAAAAACAAAAAACAACAAGCAGTTTAAGCCCAAGCTGAGTTTCTAGATGATCACCAGCGCGATACTTTGAGCCTGTGGGGAGTCGCAGGGTCACGTGGCGCACACTTCGGTCTTGAGGCTTTTGGCAAAGCTCTCTGGGCGACTCAACAATCTCTAAGGCTTTCAGATGGGTATCAACAGGCCTGGGCAACAGCCAACAGTGAGCAGAACAGCGGAACGTACAGCAGTAGTTGGCATCAAGCGTCAGTCAAGCAATTGGATCAAAAAGCAAAATTGCATGAAGTCAATCACAATCATCAAAGCCAAGCTTCTCAGTCAAGCCAAGTGCCTTGGCTGCAGCCTCCTTACCCTCTTTGATGGCTGCAAGAACAATGCCTGGTTCCTTCATTATCTTCACACCATCCGCATGCGTTGCCACCACAAACCTTAGACGTTCAAGCAGCAAGCAAAACAGGAAGTCTCAGAATAGCTGAAGAAATGGGGGTGTATCGGCAGTGTCCTAGTTCCATACAAGTTACATGGAAACAAAGCAAACAATATGTTCACGCTCAGTGGCTCGTCAATTCCAGTAAGGCCCTCGTCGTGGTCTGTGCTCTCTGCAGCGCCGATGGTTTGCAACAAATTGGACAACCTCAAAGACCAATCAACATGGCTTGGGATAAAAGCTCTCCAAGTATTGCGTCACTCTCCAATGGATGAAACACACCCAACACCCACCTGTGCAATGCCACAGGCTTCAAGATGCCAGACTGTTGCCCCATGTTGCCCCTCATCAAACCCAAACATCAGAAATCAATCAACCCGCGTTAAAGTCATGTGGTATCAAGAGCGTGCATCTCATCCGATCCACTACATTTAAATTGAGAAAGTCCGACACTATCCTGGAATTCCCCTGAGCCCCTGAGCCCAGTCACCAATCCTCAAAATCAGAGGTAAAGGATGCTCCATCTACATCGCACGCGCCCAAATCACAAAGACGGGCGCCGCCGAGACTGTTCAAGGCAGCGTCGACCTCACCTCAAACGATGCTACAGGTTCCACAAATCTCTTTGCATCCGACATCTGAAGGAACCAAGAACGTGTCATATACACCTCTTCATCAGAACATGCGCACGTGTCCCAACTTCTCCAGCCTAAGTCTCCGTACAATCTAATATCATAGTAGGTTGGAGGCCATCACCATTCGGTCAGAGGCCATCGCTATTAGTAAAGAATTTTCCCTTGAATGGGTGTTCCAAAATGAATGGGTGTTCCATCGAGATGGCTTTGAGACAGTGCTCCACTACCAGTCTATCAGCTTCAAAAGCTGCTGCCGACCAGTGAGTATGATCATGAGACTGTGACAGTAGAACCACAACCAGGGGTATATTGGAAGCCTTTGGCTTGAACTGTTTTTGGAAAATGGATCTAGATCCTTGAGCCAAGTTGGAAATATATATTTTTAAATATATTTTATATACTTATGGGTTTTGTTGCTAGTGGTTTGTATGGCCTTTGATTTTTTGACACACACTACAAACAAGAGAAGCGCCGCCACACCACTCTCTTTTCTTTCACCCGTCACAAGCTCAGCCTGGTCGGCTTCAGTTTGCTGTCAGCTGCCCCTTGTGACCTTTTAGTCAACTGCGGGGACTTCGGCATCCTGCTCTTTAGGGGTTTCTTCTTCGCCCCCTTCTTCACCCCCTTCACCCCCTTCACCCTCAGGCTCTTCTACCGCAGTTTCTTTCTGCTCAGCATCAGCTGGGGCAGATTCATCGCCTGCCAACAGACACAAACACACCGTTTGTAGTAGCATCGTTGGATATTATGGCCTGCCGGCTTCTCAACTTTCGCTTCAGTCTTCGGAGCACTGGCATTCTTGTCCCGGGTGGCCTTCTCTAGTTCTTCCTGGGAAATTTGGGATAAAAGAACATCAAGCGCTTCCAATAAACACACACACTTTCAGACAGAAAGCGACCATGGTTTTGACTGACTCAATAGAATCCCCATCCACCAAATGTTGTCGCGCGAGCACCTGGGCAGTGAAAGAATAAAGGAACCAGCCATACATCTATAATTATATATATATATCAGAAATTGTTTCTGAGCCCATGGCAGCAATCTCTTTCATTGACTCTGGATTATCGAATCGGTTTCCAACCTGAGGGGAACCCAGCACGAACTACATTGAATATGGAATATGATAAACGCTGACCATCGTTGACCCGGCAAAGGAATGAAAACCAAGAAACTCGCACTTTTTCAGCGCCGTCAACCTTGATACCCCATTTCTGAGAGCACTTAATCCAATAAGGGTTGGAGATCTTGCGTTCCTTTCCTGCGCAGGAGTTTTGAACAATGCTAAGTTTTGAAACATCCCTCAACTTAAGAATTTGCAAACAAATTTTCGAGTCTCGCCTGCTGGTCGCTTCTTTACTTCACGTTCTTCTTTTGTTTCCTCAACTTCCTCAGGTTCCTTTTTATTTTTTGCTGACTTAGTCTCTCCATGTGTTCCCCTTTCTTTTTTTGCATCTACCGTTTCAGCTTTCTTTTTTGGAAGGGTCTTTGGAACTTTTTTTCGGTTGCGGTTCTTCATGCTCAGGCTTGAGCAAAGCAGAGGGCCTCTTGCGAGGGACTTCCTGACAGTGAATAACACCAAAAACAAACCTACATACACACATTTTACTACCAGTGCACCTCCTCCCCCGACAACGTATCCACATTCGTGAACACGGGCATGGCCAGGAACGCGGCTAGAATGGCTGCGCTCATTTAATTTGAGTGATTTCGAGGGATTGCGTTCACCACAAGAATGTACACACACAGAAGCCAGCCAAGCACTCAACATGCGGCAATAAAACGAAAAAGTCATTTCTAGGGTTGCGTCTTCTCGCTCAACCATCTTTGAAAGTTCAGCCTTTCGCTACCAGAGCTAGGCATTTCCACCAAAACTGCACCACTCAAAGGTGGGCTACTATGCTGACAAATTGCACCACTTGCCTGGAGGCAGGATCAGCTCACAGGTCAAAAAGACCTTCGGTTTCACTACCAGCAGCTTTGGAGGTGAAGGCTGGAAATGTACCTGGGACAGCTTAGTATAATATAAGGACTGAACCGAAGTAACTTCAGCTCTCATTCTTCAATTCCAATTTCAAACCAACACTGGGACAAGACGTGAATTATGTGAGAGCTGCTTCCCAAGTCAATGAAGCCCGCTTGTTGCGGATGACCTTGTCATACTGGTCCCTGAAAAGAACTCCCAGTGTCTGGGGACGATGAGCTGAATGGTTGATGCTTGCCGAAGGTGGACTCGACTTGAAGACGTTGCACGCTTTCGATGCGTTCGGGGTCAGATCATATCGAAACGGCACCGCCGATTCCTCAGCGCCATCCTGGCAAGCACAACAGCAAGAACTGGATCCTAATGTTGAAACAAACTCACATCAAATGACTCGCCGGCCTCAACAAGAACTTTGCCCTTGCACACGTGATCTTCGAAGGTGATGTCGCCAATGCCATGGTTGGTTGCCAATTGCCGCAGTAGCTCACATACTGGTTGAAGTTTCTTCCCCATCGATACAAGGGTCAGATCACTCCCAAGTCTGAAGGCCAAACCTGTCTTCTCTGCGTTGCCTGATCCTGCGGCCAAACAGCACAGACTGGAAGAATCCTTTGATGCAGCTGGCAAAAGAAGGAATTGAAACAGGGGGGCCTTCAATCACCTTTTCCTCGAAACGGCCAACTCCGAAGCCAAATAGTTCTCCAGGCTTGATGCTAATTTGCACATCGGACTCATTGCCAATGAACACCTCATAGTTCTTGCCAATGGCAATGCTGGGTTCTCCTCCTTTTCCTGGGCATAGGCCCAGCCTGCACAAGAACCCTTTAATGCAATCTCAACATTCACAATAACAACAACCGGAATTTCAACAACAGCCCCACCTCCCATCGGCAAACTCACCACTGTTGATGAAGGGCAAATCGATCAGGCGCTCAAAATCAAGCGGCTTCTCTCCGCCTGCAACGCTGTAGTCGCACAAGCCGCCCACACGGACAGAGACAGGACGCGCAGGGCCTCCTGCTCTCGAAGGTGCTGGCGGGGGATATTTCAATTCAAACGCAGTCTTCTTCTTCAACATGATCTCATACTCCTCTGACCCTTCAGCAAACTTCTCGACCAAAGCCGTTGGGAAAAACGGATTGCCATCGCTGAAGCCAAGGACTTCCAAGGAAATTGATCCCTGGTTCACTGCTTCTTGGGGTCGACGTTTTGGTGGGGACTCTGCCGACTCATCCCAAAACTGGTAGATCTTGCTTCTCAATGCGGCATTGACCGCTAAAAAATTGCTCTGCAAAACTAGGCCAATGTACTCAATAGGTGGATCATGGCGATTTGCTGAAAGCACTCGTTCCAAAGCTGCCCTACCGAATTCGCATTGCCTCAAAAAGGACAGCGTATCACAGCAAGGATTATCGAAAGCAAGCTACATGTTTGAACAAGGTGCGAATTTGGGACGATGTCGAAGAATACAATCTTGTCGACCTCCTTGTTGATCTTCATGCCCTTGATCAATCCGTTCAGAATACCGACATGGCATTCCACCCCTTTCCTGGATGGATGAGAAACATGAGATATAAACTATCAGAAAATATTGCAAGCACCGCCAAACTGTTAAGCGTGTTACAAAGAAGACTCTCAACTTGGCATAAGGGTCTGCTCGGTTCGAGCGCTGGGAGATGGCTTGGACTCTTCATCATAGCCGATGAGATCTGCTACTCGGGCAAGGGGTAGTGGTCCCAAAGTCTGTGCTGTCACAGCTTCGCTCTCGGCGAAAGCTGGATCAGAGAAGCAATTGCTGAAAACAGCTAGCGTTTGCTGCGTGGAGTTCCTCGAATCCCTAGCCGTCGAGGTAGGCTTTGAAAAAAAGCAAAGTGATGCCATGGGTCAAGCTCAAATCCGCGCTCAATAGGGACTCTTCGGCTGCGCGGCGGTGCTTCAACAAGGCCCCAACAGTCGTCTGGCTTTGATACTGTGGGAATTGCAAGAATCCCATCGTAGCAGGCGAGATTGCGCAAGTCGACTGCAAGATCGCCATTGCATTCTTGACATACAAAGCGTTGGGCGGCCACACAGTAAAGTCCACACCCGCAATCACATACCTGATGCATCAACCAACTTCCGAAACCGAAATCAAATTGAAAAGAATTCAGAACTCAACCCTTGCAAGCAAATATTGAAAGCTTCTCCAGAAGATGAAGACACACTTTCCCGGATGCACTCCGGAACTGGTCCATGAATTTTAAAAAGCGCGGGAAGCCGTTCTGCAAATTGTCTTCAACTGTCACTAAATGGCAATGCTCCGCCATGAACTTGTCCACCCACTCTGAACCAGTCCTGCAAACAAACTTTGCGTTTTCCTCTGCTTGCAAAGTAAATTTAAAGCGAACTATGACCACACATTTGTGCCATACCACTTAAGGTCCTCTGTCTGGTCTTGATGTACTTCATGTCCAGCTGTGTAGCCGCAGCTGCGCTTTCTTTCGATGGTAAATGCTTCTCTAGCGATGCCATGTCTATGCCCAGCTTTGCCTCGAGCTGCTCCAGCGAAGCCTGAGCAACCTTCTTGGATAGGGCCGCGGCCTTCTCTTCCTTTTCGATCTGCAATCTCTTCTCGACCTGGCTGAGGAAAGGCCTGCGCAAGTGAACAAATATATGCGCTTCCTTCAAAAGCGAAAATTGCTTCAAACCATGCAAACTAACATGAAAACCAATTTGGCCTGAACGCAGAGACCTGGTTGGGGTCTGCTGGGGGAACCGATTCCTCCAACATGTGGTGGATGTCGGAATCCAGAAAGCCCTGCATCCATTGACTCTTCAGCGGCGTCTCAGCGGCTAGGAAATCTGTGTGGGGTACAGAATCCTTCAAACGTTGCATCAGGTGCAGGAAGCCGCCCGCAGAGGAGTGGAGATCAAACGCTTCTTTGTAGGTTTTGGCCTTGTGAAAGCCACTGGGCGTTCGGTCAAAGTCAGCGCACAC